AAACTGAGCTCTGCATGGAAGGCCGAGGCATCCCTGCCCATGAGGAAGAGAGGACGCGGCAGGGCTGGCAGCGGTACTACTTCGAGGGCATCAAACAGACCTTTGGCTATGGTGCACGCTTATTTTAGGGCCAGCAGCAGGGGGTGAGCGCCTGCCCAACACCTCAGTCCAGCCCTCTCCTGCCTGGGGCTCGGGACTCACGGGATTGCACCATCCCAACCAGTAACTTGGGGCTGGGGCTCCTTCCCTCCACTTATACCTTGGGTTTGTGCATGTTTTCTGCCGGGTGGGATCAGAGGGTGATTTTTCTTTTATGTGTACATACGCTAAATAAAGTAATTTTAAAAATGCACAGATCTGGAACCTGTATTGATTGGGTGGCTGGTATTAAGAGTTTCTTGAAGGTTTTGAAGTTTTAAAAAATGGCGGGGTTGGTAAAAGACCTCGTCTCCATTCCAGGTAAGTGTGGGTAACTGAGAGGCAAGCAGGGTACCTGTTTCTCACCACTAAGCATCCCCAAACTAGTATGCTTTCCCTGCTGACTGAAGAGCAGTTTCTAGTACTTGTCTCACCGTGGGGCAAACGGGGAGATGCACCCTGAGGTAGTACCAGCAAACACTGCTGCTGGTGGAGTTGTCATCCTGGGCTCTGCCTCTGATGCTCTTGCACGATGTGATGGCTGCCAGGAGCTGTTCGGACACGGGGTGGGACGAGGGCTTTCCACACTGGGAGACAGGAACTGTGTGGTAAGTGGCTCCTGTTTGCTGAGCAGTAACTGTAGCTGACAGTGCACGCTGAGTCGTTCCCTTGTGCTTGCTCGCTTTACGCCTACCCCCAGTAGCCCTATGAAGCGGATACTGTCATGTCTGACAAGAACCTAAGACTTGGATTTCTCAAGGAACGTGTCCCAGGCCCAATAACTGGTACACAGTAGAACTGGGATTTGAAACGGCCATAACTGTACCTCTAGTGTCCATGTCCAAATCACTGTGTCTCCGGTCTTGTCATCAGATGCTCCTCACGAAGAGCTACTGCGCTTCCAGCATGTTAGTCATCCCTCGGAGAAGAAAATCCCAGGCCTTACTACTTCCAGGTAGGAAGAAATGAATGTCCTAGTCAGAGTATTTTTAAGTATCTGGCTCCATTAAACTAGTTAACTGGAATAATGTGTATTAAAAAGTTGAATGGGTATTGCTCAAGTTGGGGGGCGGGATTACGTTCTGCTTGGACTACCACATTGTGGGAAGAGGTAACTACCTGAGCAGGGAGGGTCCCTCTGGAATGAGCCCCACCCTACTTCCTGCCCCCCCTGCATGACTCAGTCCCTCTAATCCAGACTGCCTCCTGCAGCTACTATTTCCTTCATCTATTTTTGACTTTTATTAGGTGGCAATGAGGCCTGCAGGCTAATCCTACCAACATGACTTGGCCAAAATGTTGTTAAAGCAGAAAATCAGTATCGACCTGGATAAATTAGGCCCCCCAAAGCTTCCTTTGTTTGGAATTGCTCAAATGAGTGTGGGATTGAACTAATTTTCTTCTGATTTGGCATACCAAAAAGGTGTTTTTTGGTCAAGAACCTGGACTCTGTCCTGAATCAAACCAACAAGACTTCCTATGAGACCAGTGACAAAAAAGGAGCCTTGTCACACCTGGCTGGAGAGTTAGCAATTCCAGAAGCTTTAGAAAAATAATCTGGAGCTCACAAACACCTTAATGAAAAAGTACCTGTCACATGACAAGCTCAGGAGCAGCTGCCACCTCTAGGACTGGTGATGGCTGTTCTGATTTCTTACCACTGCTACTTTACTGCAGCCTTTTGTTTGGCCATCTGAGCCTAAGAAGCAGAATGAGGGCATCCCTGGTAGCGCAAGGGTTAAAGACAAAGCTATCAAAGCTATTGGCAGCATGAGCTTTTGGCAGCCACTGCAGCGTGAGCTTGATCCCTGGGCCAGGAAGGTGACCCACATGGCACAGCAGACCTCTCCTGTCTTGCCCGCCTGCTGCTCTTCCCAGCAGTGTATTTCAGTACATCTGCCTGTTCTCCCCAGCTGTCTCTGGTGAATCCTCTCACCTCCCCTCCAACTCTGGCCTACACCCCAGTTCTTATATGCATAAATAAGTAAATCTTTAAAAAAGAAAGATAGAGCTGAAAATGGTGAACTTGGATTTGAACTATAAATAGGGCATTTCCTAACAAATTGGGTGTATTTTCTGATCTATAAAATAGGCATAGTCGGCCCTTATAAAAGCATTATGTAAAAGATGAATGTAGACGCACTGGCACCTGATGGCCCTTCGCAAATGGTACCTGCTGACTTCTGGAAACAAGAAGTGAAAACACTTCTTGTTTTCCCTTGAGCAAGAAATAAATCGTTTTTTTGAAAAGCTGATTAACTGACTAGAATTGGAAATCATAGGCCAGGGTGTGCCTGCCTAAGAACCACCTGGGGGAACCTGTTAAAAGAAAAATGGACTCCACTCTTAGAAGTTCTCAGTGGGAAGGGGCGGTCCATGAACTGATATTTTAATAAATATTCTGACATCAGAGCTGCATTTTGAAAAGCACTTCAATGTGTTAAAAAATACATATATATATACATATATGTGTGTGTGTGTGTATAAAGTTGAAATGGAAGAGCCAAGGAAGCATATATTTGGGCCCCTTTTGTAAATAATGGAACAAAGCATCTCAAACGTTCTGTCTTCTGAGACATGAAGGAGATCAGGGGGACCTGGCAGGGGTGGCGGCACTGGCGGTTGTGTTAAATCCTAGGAAGAATTCAATGTCCTAGGACTTTGCCTAGGACCCTTTATGAGGAGGGAAAACTGGGCAAAACCATCCCTGTGAACTTAGAAACCATGGTGGTGTCCATGCTGGCTGTGTGGCAACTCCTGGTGTTGGGGATGGGAAGCACCCCTAGTCATGGCAGTGGGGGAGGGACGCTCTGACTTCATGGTCCCTCCTGGTTCTGCTCCCTTTGACAGCCTCAGTGCCCCCCTCCACGACTTTTTCCTCACGCACAAGTGTCCATCCCTAGGCCCGCAGACACCTGCACAGCATCTCTCTCCGGTAGAGTTTGAATAAACACCACTGCAGAGCTGGCTGCCCCCCAATCCCCTTTTGAGGCTCCTGTCCAGCCTCCTTTCACTTCTCTCATCTGTGGCCTGATGTGGATGCAAGGCAGCATGGCACTTAGATGACAGATGAAACCCGAGGACTGGCTACGTTCAGCACAGGTGACAGATAACCGTGCAGGATAGATGACATTTGGACAGTGTATTTAGGAGTCGAGGTAAGTTATAGTAGAAAGGAGGGGAATTAGCGATGGCCTGTGAAAACAGACTCTGGGCTGTCTCGTATTATTACCAAAAAAAAAAAAGTTTCTGCTAAAAAAATAATACCAACTTACCCCTGCTGGTCTTACTCAACTCCCCAGACAAGAGACTGGCAGTGAGCTTGGTTCCCATTTGGTGACAGAAGCGCCGGCCCCCACGACCTGCCCCTAGCTGATTCCAGTCGCCCCCACAGCAGCTGAGACTGTGGTTCAGGACCAGCCAAGTAATCTCAGCGCTGGGGGTGAGGGTCACGGTTAACATCTGGCTCTGAGTACCAGGTGGCCACTCTGGACACACCTTCCTCCTCCTACTTCCTGGTGTGTCTCTGTCCGTCCCCAAATGCCAGGCGTGGCAGTGAGGGAGGGCATGGGTGCCCCCTGAGCCAGGGTCAGGTCCACCTCTGTCATTTTGGAGGTGTTATTTGGGGAGGGGGCCGCAAGCACCGCTGAGATGGAGTGGCTCCTCCAGGCCTCCAGGCAGCCCCTGGCGAGAGGGGGAGCTGATATTTACAGTCTAACCTCTGCACCCCTGGAGCTCTGCCTGCCCCACTGGGTTAGGTGGCCACAACCACAGGAGTGCGACATGGGCAAAGGCTCTGCCTGTGGGGGCCCCAAATTCTTCATCAGAACTTGAAAATAAAGTGCTTTATCGCTGGGGATCCCACAGAGCTTCAGAGCAGTCTTCGAGGGGCCAGGACTGAAGTCCCCTACCTTTTGTGGCTCTTATGAACACCTTTCCACCCCATTAGATGACATGTAAATAGGGGTGAGGGGAGCCAGGGAAGAGGCACAAGGCATGCTGGGAAGCCAATTATGTGCCTCTGTCCCCAACTCTGAGGTCAGTGCCTTCAGTGACATCACCCCGGAGCTTGTGGGGGGCGTGCTCACGCCACGGAAATCGCCCAAATGCTATAAGCAGGACTGCCCCCTAGAGAGCTGGTTAACCGCTCACCCCAGACACCCGACACCCGGTGCTGAGTCAGCCCCGAGCCCACCCCAAGCCCTGCTCCTGGGAGAGCCGCCACTTCCTCCCTCCTGGACAGGGCCACCTCCCAGCCCTGCGCACAACCCTGCCCCCTGTCCCCCCCCCCAGCCTGGACACAACAGGTGAACTGCACACAGAAAGGCCTGAGCTGAGGAGCCTCTGCCCTGCCTGGAGTCCACCTGGCCTCTGCCGCCTCTCAGAGGCCCCTCTGATGGCTTCAACCCTGGACTTCAGTGGCGTCCACCAAAGGAAGATCTGCTGTTGGAGGAAAACCCTCCCGCATGCAGGAGGACCAGGCGGAGGCGCCAGAGCTAAGGAGGGCTGCTCACCTGGGGCTGCCTGCCCGACGGGATGGACTGGCCCCAGGGGCGCGGGTCCCAGCGATCGCCCCATCTCCTGGGAACAGTGTGGAGGGCCAGAGCGCAAGAGCCCAGCAGGGACAGGCAGGCAGGACGCCGAGCGGCCAGGATGGCCCAGCGCCTCCTCGCAGAGAGGGAGAAGGAGGCGCCGACACATTGCCCTGGTACCCTCAGGCCTTGGGGGCTGAGCTCGCTTCTCTCACCCTGGGCCCAACCTTCTTCCCAGCCCACACCGACACCGACACCGACACCGACACCGGGGGGCGCTGACCTGCCTCGGGTTCACAGGCCGAAGGTCGAAGGCCCCAGATGGGCCTCTCCGGGTGTGGCCAGGGGCGAGGAGGATGGAGCTGCAAGGCGAGTGCTCTGGCTCTGCAGCCCCGACTTAATACTCCTTGGCCTCCTGCAGCTGGGCCAGGTACTCCTCTTCCGGGGGGTTGTCAGCACAGGCCCGGCCGTTGTTGGGGGGCCGCACCGCGTGGTAGCGGCTCCAGTCCCCCTTACACAGGATCCAGGGCAGTGTGTCCACCTTGAAGTGCAGCTCGGGCGAGAAGTCGGTGCTGACCAGGTCGGGCGCGCCGGCGCCCTTGCCTCGCGTCAGCAGCCGGCTGCCCGCGTCGTAGCAGCAGTGCTGGGCGGCCAGGGTGCTGCTGTCCCCCGACAGCAGGGAGCGCAGGCAGAAGCGCGCGGTGGGCTGGTACACGTCCAGGCGCTCTCGCGGGCCGCTCGCGTCCTTCCAGCGGAAGCTGCGGCCCTGGTGCTCGTCCCGCAGGCTCACAGCCCGGGACACGGCCTCCAGCGGGTAGGCGCAGGGGCAGCTGGGCAGGTCCCGCAGCACCTGGCTCAGGTACTTGGCGAGGAAGTCGCTCTTGCAATTCAGCCACTTCTCACAGCTGTCCACATCTGCAAGGGGGGAGGTGCCGGAGGAGGCCCAGTCAGCCCCTTGGGGAGGGGGCTGGTGAATGCACAGAGAGAAGGCCCAGGCCCCAACGGGGCAAAGATGTGGCCTGGGAGGGCCTTAGGGCGGGAGAGGAAGGACCACTTCCTGACCTCCCTGTGGACAGAGAAGGGCGGCCACACGCCGCCCAGCAACCTGAGCCACGGATGCTGGCCACAGGGCTGTGTCCCTGGCCACGTCCGAGATCCTCTGTTGTGCCAGGTGTGGCCTCTTCAGGGGCCGGTGATGAGAAAGAACCTGGCATCTTGGAGAAGGAGCAGGGCAGGGTCAGTGTTTCAATATTTCAATGCCTGACCATTCTTGCCCTGCCTTTCTAGGGCTCACTCTGTCTTTCGGGGTCCCCACTGGTGGCCTGACGGTGCTGCCCTCTGCTCTTCTCTTTACCTCGGGAATGGAGTGTCTGAACCAATTGCACCTTCTGCTTTGCTGCCTGACCTTTGGGGCAGGCTGCAGAGCTGAGCTCAGGTGGGTGCTGTAGCCCTGCGCTCCTTGAAGGCAGCTGCTGGGCTTTACTCTCCTGGGCACCGCCTGCCCCAGCACCGTGAGCCTCTGATGCACAGGCCTCATCTGCAGGGGGCTGTCGCAGACGCCCGCCTCCTTCTGGGGTATTGAAAGACCAAGAGACACAGAGGCAGAGTATGCGCCACCTTCTGGACTCCGACCTGTTCCTGGCAGCACCCCCCGCCCCAGACAAAGCCTGCCCAGGTGCCTCCAAGCTAGACGGTCCCCACGCCCCGCTGCCGCCACCGGGCTCTCCAAGCTCCGTGTCGCATCCGGACCTTCTTCCCAGCAGGGATATCAGACGAGGAAAGCCAATGCGCCTGACGGGGGCGAGGGGCCGCACCAACGCTAGGGCCACTTGCTGGGGAGGCTGACTTCCAGCGGGGGGAGGAGCCCTCTGCTCCTGAGACGAGATGCCAGCCCTGCAGCGATCCTGCACCCTCCCCGGAGCGGACTGTCCCAGCCCCCCACTGACCTGGGCTGAGCATGTCCGTAGCATTGTGGGCCAGGGGCTGCCACCCCTCGCTGGGGAAGCCCAAGGGGTCCTCCTCATCCTCGGTGCCTTTGGGAAGAGAGGAGGCCAGGCTGGTGGTGTCCCAGGGCACCCCCGTGCAACTGCTGGGGAGCCCAGCCCTCTCCAGGGCCTCGGTGCCCATGGCATCTGGGACAGGCCAGGGGCAAGGCAGGACCACCCGGTTTGTGACTTTCCTGCTTCCCCTCTCCCAAGCCCACCCGGGACAGGAGGCTCACGGGCCCACATTCCCAGGGGCCCAGCCCGGAGTGTGAGCCACGGCCTGTGCGGGAGCCAGGGCTTGTCTCACCAGGACAGGGCGGGAGGCCGCAGGCTCGGGACTCGGTGGCGGTGCAGGCATAGCCACAGGGCTGAGTCCTCCGCTGGCTGCCGCTGCCGCAGCTCCCACTGCAGGGAGACCAGGGGCTCCACTCCTCGTGCAGCTCATAGTCTGGGTCAAGGCAGGGGCCAGGGAGCGTGAGCACAGCCCACAGGGGCACTGGTACAAATTAGTACAGGCACCACGTCCTTTGGGGGAAGCAGCTGTTTCGGGGCTCCCAGCCCAGCGCATGGAGCATGGGTCACGTGTCAACATCAACTCACCCACTTAGCTGGGCTCGCTGGGCTCTACCAAGACGGCACAACCTCTAGCCACCCACTCTGTAGCCCCAGCTGGAGCCTGACCACTGCCTGTGTGCCCTTGGGCAATCCTCCTACATTTCCGTCAATCAAATCCAAGGGTGACAACCCTTCCCTGGCACTGGGGCATGAAAGAACACCCCTGCAGGCTGCCCGTGTTCAGAACCACTTTTGGCCCGAGGAACTCAAAATACATCATCACTGCACCTGCAGCCCCCTGGCTGCACATGGGCCGAGACCTAGGGCTCCCCATGGAACCCCCCAAAGCACTGAGCAGGTTGCTCTCCTTGCTTCCCTCGCTGGCCCAGCAGACTGGCATCTAGAATTTTAGGAAAATTCAAGGGAGAAAGGCTGAAAGTCATAAAAATTCTGCCTAATAGCTTATATTATGCTGGTGAGCGGGGACGAGCCTGCTATGACTTAGTCTTCATCACAGACACCTCAGTCCCAGGTCAGGACACCAGGCTCCAGGGAGACCTTTGCAGCGATGCGTGAGGCTTGCCACACCCAGGGGAAACCAGCAGTACAATATGCAAAAATAAAAATGGCGGAAGTTAAAAAATAAATAAAATAAATAAAAATAAATAAAAATGGCGGTCAGGGGGCTGGCAGCCTCCAGGTGATATTTTCAAACAGTCTGAGCTGTTGTTTTCTAACAAAAATAGTAAAAATAGCCAATACTTTGTTTCCTATCTGCTAACACTTTAAATGCATTCACTCGCGTAATGCTCTGCAACCAACCTCATGTCACAGGCTTGTGCTGTTCTCCCTTTTATAGAGGGAGGAACTGAGGCATGAGAGGCGAGTAGCTGCGCTCCACACGGTCTCAACGATGAGCTCAGTTTCTATTTTCTTAGAGACTGAGAGATATGGCTGGATGCAACATTAACAAAAGCCTGCTTTGGGCCTCCCTGTTGGCACAAGGGGTTAAGATGCAGCACTATGAAGCTACCCACAGCCACTGCAGCACGAGTTCGATCCCCAGCCAGGGAGCTACCCAAATGGTGCAGCAGACCTCTCCTGCCTTGCCCGCTGCTCCCCTCAGCAGTGTGTTTCAGTAGATCTGCCTGTTCTGCTCCCCACTCTGTCTCTGGTGAATCCTCTCACCCCACCCCACACACACCTCTGGTCTGTACCCCGGTTCTTGTATGCATAAATAAATGTTTAAAAAAAAAACCCAAAGAACAAATGCCTGCTTTACCTTGGGGATCTCAGGGCTGTTTTGAGGGTCAAATATTCAGGAAAAAAACACTTTGCAAATTACTGAGCTGATGGTGGTCTCTGTAGAGGCCTGATCTCCTGGCCTCCCCAGCTGCCCCTGCCCAGGGAGCACTCAGCATCCTCTCCCACCCCATTTCTCAGGACCTTGAGGGCAGCAGCTGGGATGCCTGGAAGGGGGTGCTCACCATAGCTGTCTGATTCCTTGAAGGCCCAGTCCCCCGGGGTCAGCCAGCCCTGCTCCCAGCCGCCTGCAGCCCCGCTGAACCCGGACTCCTCCAAACTATCTTCCTCTTCGCCGCCCTCCTGGTCCTTGCTCTCGCTGTGCTCCACAGAATAGTCCTCCTCCTCCTTCATCTTCTCCTCTTCCCCTGGAGCTCTGCCCTTGAGAGGGGTTCCCCTCGCCTCGGCCTCCAGGTAACCCCAGAAAAGGGGCCAGAAGAGCTCCTTGGTGGGCAGCCAGCTAGGGAAGCCCTGGGGCGAGCGATTGTTGGGCTCCGCCAACAGGTCCATCTCCACCTCAGCCTGGGGGTCCTCCACCACCTCAATGGTCACCTGCAAGGGGACAGATGCCAGGCTGGCCAGTGACGGCAGGTCCAGAGCCAGACTCCATGGGGAGGGGAGATGGGGCAAAGGCAGGAGGAGAGGCCCAAAAGATGGCAAGAGGCCCTTGCCATCTTTTGGCAAAACTTGGCTTCCCAGGGCACACGGGGTGCCAGCTTAAGGCCGCTGCATCAGAATCCCCAGGAGATTCCTGACTCCTGACCCCACCCCCACCCCCCCACCCCCCACCCCCCACCCGGCATCAGCTTAACTGATCTGAGGTGGGGCCCGGCAGGGGAGCCTAACACATGCTGGGTCGGGATCCTGGCTTCAGGGGCCACTAACTGCTCAGAGCCTCCATGTAAGGCCAGAACATGAGCACAGACAACAGGGAATCCCCACAGCAGCCTGGGGCGGGGGCGGGGAGGAGAGAGGGGAAAGAGATGACGTGAAATCCTTTACATGGATGTGAACTTTAAAAGCACCATTCTGGGCTATTATAAAGTCATATGAGGTCATGGCAAAATCTGGGAAAAGAGCAAAATATAAAGACGGAAAATCAACCATATTCCAACACTGACAGGTAACATTTTGGTGACTAAGTTCCAGGTTTACACACACACTTTTAGACACACTTTTGTGGCCGTCTTTATTCTCTTCTGGTAAACATTAGGGGTTCGGGACTGGCAGTGGGGTGTATAAACTGGAGTTCCCCCAGCCAGACCCCCTAGTCTCCTCTCCTGCGAAGCCCCCTCCCCCACCCAGCTTATTCTGCACTCGCGGCTGCTTCTGGGGCCTGCAGTGAGGGCTGGGCCTGAGCCGGGATCAGACCTTCAGGCTTTTTCACAAGGCCTCTCTGTATCCCAGAATACCCTGCAGCCCACCAGGTTCTGCTAGCTTGGCCCTGCCAGGTGTAGGAATGGCCCTGCCAGGTGTAGGAAACAGAGATCCATGTGACGTGCTCATGGTCTGCAGCTAGGAGCAGGGAAGCAGGACCCTGCACCCCTCCTCCACAGGGAGGCCATGAGGGTCAGGTGCTCTGGCCCCACCCAGGACCCCGCCCTCCAAGGAAGGCAGGGTGGGCCACCTGACCTCAGAGGTTTCCAGCTCAGCCCAGCTCCTCTCTAGGGGTCTGCTGGGCCCATGACCCTTCTGTAGCTCTTACCTGGATATTGGGGTTCGGGACACTCAAGTCTGTGTTGGCCAATCCTGGCAGCTTCTGCAGCTCCAGCAGCAGGGGCGTGTCCTCCAGGGTCCCGGGGAGAGCGGCCTTGTGTGGGGTCAGGGCTGCTGGCTCAGTGACGACCTGGTGCCTGTGTCTGCACGGTCCTGCCTGGAGGCGGGTTCCTGGGAGCGGGGGTGTCCCCTCTTCCCCAGGAGAGCTGGGATCTGGGGAGGCTGGGACCTGGAGGGAGAGAGGGAGGAGGGTGGCTGAGGTCAGGGCTCACCATGGGGGACATGGAAGACACTGGTTAGTCAACTGGGAGGTGGGTGGGGAGTTCAGGAGCCCTGGGGTCTGAGCAGATCACAAACTCAGCCTGTGGTCTCCTACCCAAACGCCTCACAGGGTGAGTGAGACGCCAAGTCCACCAAGCACTTGGACAAATGGTGTCCACATGAGGCAGAGGGTTAAGGCCAGGCTTCCACACGCAGAAGGAACACAACCCCCGCATTTTACAGAGGAAGAAACTGAGACCCAGACAGGGAAGCGAGTTGTTTGAAGTCATGGTTCCAAAGTGCATTTACCCACCACCTCCCTCAGAGCCCCCCGTGGAGGGCAGGAGTGCTCAGGAAGCTGAGGAGGGTGGGCAGGCCTTCCCCTCAGCGTGGCCTGTCACGTGGCTCTCCCGAGGCGTCCACCAAGCAGCTGTATGTATTCCTTGGCATCTCTGACCACAGCTACCTTCCCCCACCCACTGACCTGCGCTGGACCCTTGTCCTGGCCCAGGCTGCCAGCATGGCTGACTGTCTCTCTGTTAATCCCCTCCCCCGGCCAGTGCCCACCCTGGAGATCCAGGCCTCCGTCAAATCCTGGCCGCTTTGGACTCCACTCTGGAGTTCCTTGGCTCAGAGTGAGGCCCACCTATCCCCCAGGTCTCGAAGCCAGGAAGGAAAGAGTGCTGTCCAGGGCCACCCCGTGAGGCTCAGGGGCCAGGAGCTTGTGGTCACTGCCCCATCCAGACCAAAGCCTTGACCCCGCCTCCCGGCTCATACCCAGGGCAGAGACCCATGGGTCTCTGCTTCCTACACCTGGCAGGGCCATTGTGAGGACCAAGCAAGGGCTCATACCCAGAGCTTTGTGGCTGACAAAGCTCTAGACTGCCAGGTCAGCTGTCAAATCCCAGTTCTGGCTCTTTCTAGCTCCTCACTCATCTCGATGGCATCCTCATCTGGAAAGTGAGGATCATCATTCCTACCTGGGGGGACTGTCAGAACTGTATTTATCAAACAGCTCTACAGCATCTACAGGGCGTCAGACATCATTCTAAACACTCATTTCATCCTCCCGCAGCCTTCAGAAGCAGATGCTAGCTGTCGTCCTCATTTTGACACAGGAAACTAATAAACAGAGCAGGCAAGTAACTTGCCCGAGGGTACCCAGACATTTAGCGGTGGATCTAGGATGTGAGTGAGGCCGACTGGGCCCAGAGCCAGAGCTCTAAACCACTATTCTATAAAACACTACAAGTGAGAGCACTCAGTCCGCTTCACAAGTGTGGGGCTAAATCAAGCCAGATTTTCACTTCACTTCTCTAGGTTTGGTGGGCCTCCCCGGTGGCGCAGCGGTTGAGCGCTGGGTTTGCGAAGCTGCCCGCGGCCTCTGCAGCGCCGGTTCGATTCCCGGCTGCTCCCCGGCCACCGGAGGAGGGTCCCGCATGGCGCGCAGACCTCTCCTGCCGCCCGCTGCTCCCCTCAGCAGTGTACTTTGGTCCTTCTGCCTGCTCTGCTCCCCGCTCTGGCTCTGGTGAATCCTCTCACCCTCCTGCACTTCTGACTGTACCCAGTGCTTGTATAGACAAATAAATAAATCTTTAAAAAAAAAAAAATCACTTCTCTAGGGTTGGAAAGTTCCAGTATCTTCTCTGTTCCCTTTGACCTTCTCTGATGCCCAGATGCCTGACTCCAAGGCACCTGCACTGAAGACCTGGTCCCAGAGCAGTCATGGGCCCTTCTGACTGGCCCTGGAGCCTCTCAGCAAGTCAAGGGACGCAGGTCCAGCTGCTAGGGGTGGAAGAGCAGGGGCCGGAGAGTGTGGAACGAAACAAGTGGACCCCCACCACCCCCACCACCCCCACCAATTCTGGGGGTCTGGAGCATCCCCAGATGCTGCCTTCCTGACAGTTCCTACCCACAGTTCCAAGAAGCCCTACGCGTCCCTGTGACTTTGCTCAGTGGTTCCTCAGGGACACAGAGACAGGCAGCCTGGGGCAGAAACCAACCAGGTTCGGGCTGATGGGGATGCCAAGCACGTGGGGCAATGGTTAAGCAGTTGTTCTCATCTGGGGACAAGCGTGGCTGTCACAACTGGGGAGAGATGCTGCTGGCACCTAGTGGGTAGAGGCCAGAGATTCCCCACACCCCTCCAACAAGAATCATCCAGCCAGAATGTGGCTGTGCTGCTCCCCACTCAGGCTGCCTGGGTCTGGATGCCCAGGTGGCCTGACTTCCGGCCCATGACTTCCGGCCTATCCAGGAGGCGCTCAGATGTCCATCCCCAGCTTGCCCATGCTCTCTGCCGCAGGGGCCCAGGCAGGCCAGGCGAAGAGTCAAGGCTGCAGGAGACCGGGCCCTGCACCTTCCGCTCTAGAGCTGCTGCTGGAGCCTCGTGCCCCGTGTGTCAGCCCCGGGGGCTCCTGGGAGAAGGAGGACATCTGGTCTCAGTCTGGGTTTCCTCAATGACGACCCTAAAACAAGGACTCAAGGGCAAGGGGTTTCTCTGGAAGGTGATCTCAGAATATTTTAGTGGTGGGGCCAAGAGGAAGACAAGGGAGGCAGCTAAGAGAGAATGAGCCATTACGCTGGTGACCTTGGTGGGCAACCCAACCCCACTAGCTCCTCCCTCATCCCCAGGATGGGGCTGGGGGCAGAGAGCTGGGTTCTTTACCTGCCAACTCCATGGTGGAGGGCAGCTGAGGGGGAGAGGGTTTGCTCTCCCGGCCACTTCAGGCTTGCCAAGTAAGCTCAGAGCAGGCCCCCATGGCAGTGAATGCTCTGAGGCAACTGGAAGTAAGACCTGAGGGGATATGGGCAGAGCCCCCAGCCCTGTGAGCTGTGACCACCGTCTGAGCACCTCTCTGTGGGGCTGGGGCCAGGCCCTCTGTCACTCACTCCAGGCACAGGGAAGCCCCTGCAGGCAGGAGATTTTTGTCTGCTTGGTTCAAGCTGTATCTCCTGTGCCGAGTACAATGCCTGCTACACTGTAGGAGCTCAACAAATCATTGCTGAGAGATCACATGAACAACAGCTGCCATGAGGGGTGAGTGTATCTGTGTTAACTGTGAGGCTCTGGAGGCCCAGGGAGGCTAAGGGATTTATGTAAGGGCACAAAGGTTATAATAAAAGGCCTCTCTGATGGCGCAGGGCTCGAGAGCAGCGCTGTGAAGCTGTCTGCAGCCTCTGCAGCGCCAGTTTGATTCCCGGCCGGCCAGGGAGATACCCACATGGCACGGCAGACCTCTCCTGTCTCTCCCACTGTTCCCCTCAGCAGCGTATTTCAGTCAACATGCCTGTTCTGCTCCCCACTCTGTCTCTGGTGAATCCTCTCACCCTCCCACACCTCTGGCCTGTACCCCAGTGCTTGCATAAAAAAAAAAAAAAAAAAAAAAACAAGGAAAGTTTACAATAATGGAGCTCGGGTTCAAACACAGCTCTGGCTGATCTCAAGACCCTTTCATGGGTACCCACTACACACACACACACATGCACATACACACACGTGCACATGCCAGACTCCTGCCTCTAATCCCTCCTGTGTCACCACCTCTGCATTCACAAGACACCACCACTGTCTCTTCCTGTCCAGCAGATGACTGTGGCAGTAGCGAGAGCAGGCTTGAGGCCAGATCACCTGGATTCAAATCCCACATGACCTTGGGCAGATTGCTTAATCTTCCTTAGTTTCCCCCTCTGTAAATTAGGGAACCAGCAGTCCCTGTCTTGTAGGGTTGCTGAGTTTGAATGGTGCCTCAAGTAGGACCAGTGTGCAATGAACGTTACCTGGAGGTGGACAGGCGGCTCTCACCAGGCACTGTGTTAGTTTTATACATTTTATTAGGTCTGAAGACCCTCCCCACCCAAACACACACACACACCACCACTGAAGCTGGATCTCTGGGCAGATGTATCCCCTGAATTCATTTCGAAGCAAATCCTGAGGCTCCAGCCTGTTTGAGAACCTGTCTTACCCCACAGGACCAACTTCCCCAGCTGATACGCATGTACAGACCCCAACTCTGTCCTCTTCAGCAATGGTGGACAGTGTCACTGCCCAGATAGACACAAGATACATAGAGACAGCCTGAGAGAGCCCCTTCTCCCCTGCTTCACACACGCACAAGCATGCATGCACACACATACACACACATATACACCCCCACTCACACAACTTTCCGGGTTTGGCCAGGCAGCCCTGGCTCACGTGTTCTCACTAACACAGAGCCCTCAGACCCTGCGTGCACGGAGCAAGCTGCCTGCTACCTCTGCCATCTGTCTCCCTCCTCCTTGGCCTCAGGGGTCAGCCACTAGCACCCTTGATGGAATCCAGTTTCCAGGTGGAGCCCAGCCCCTCCCCATTCTTACTCCCCTCCCTGCTGCCCCAGCTGCGGAGGCCCAGGCCCATCCATGCCACACACTTGCCTTGGCTTCCCAGTAGGTGGAGAGACCCAGGATTCAGCAGCAACCGCTCGTCCAGCCCAGTCAAACAAGCAGAGGGACAGGCCGACTGTGCCTCAGCTGCCTCCCCGGTAGGGACTATTCTAACTCAGCCAGCCGGCTGGCGCCCAGGGAAGAGCTCAAGCCTCCCTGTGGAGAGCACTGCTGATGGAGAGCACATCCTCCATGCCCTGCTCTTTGCGACGCCAAGACCAGCTTCCTGCAGCCTGACCAGTGAGACTGCTCTGCTGTGGCCATCCTGAAATACTTAGCGCCCCACTCTCTCACTTTGCACTGGGCCCCTGCAGACTGTGTAACCAGTCCCCTGAGCACCTACACGAGGGTGGGGCTGGGGACCAGTCCTCACAGGAATCCTTTGGGCAGGTATAGCCTCACCCTCAGTTCACAGACAAGGCTGCCAAGGATCAGAGGGGTGAAGTATCTTGCTTGGGTGGCACAGGGCCTGGCAGAGCAGGATTTAAGGCAGGTGGTCCAGCGAGAGGGTCTGTGCTCTTAGGCCCTCTGCTCTGTCCACTCCAGGCTGGGCAGCACTCTGGGGTGCTGAATGTGTTGGAGGAACAAAACATGAGAATGGAATGTTCTACTTTTCATATCCATCTTTCCCTTTGAAGCTCATTACAACCCAGGGTGAAGGGTGAAGGGAAGGAACAAGGTTAGGAGACTGAGTCCAGTGAGGTTGGGCACTTGCCTGGACCCCCTGAACAGCCAAGCCTCCAGGCCCCCGATTCTGTCCTTCCCCCGAACCAGCTTTCCAGAGGCTCCAACCCCTAAGAGAGAATTGTCTGAAGGTCACAGTGAGGCCCTGCTTGGGGAGCAGGCTAGAAGGCAGGCCACCGACTAGACATCACACAAACCTGCATCCCAGGTCCCCTCTGACACTCGCTCCATGACCAGGCTGGAAAGGCTCCCAACCAAAGAAGGCCAAGCTGCAGGAAATACCTGCTTCCCAGTGCCTCCCATCTGGCAGGTGAGACCTTCCACCCCATCATCCGCCTCCTGCAATTCAGTCCCTGTTGCTGGGTGACCAGAGGCTGTGCGTCCCTGCCCCAGGCTCCTTCCTGCACTGAGTGCGTCCCACTGAATGCTTCCTGGTGGCAAGGAAACCCCTGCTGCAGCTGCTGCACCAACATCCCCAGCTCTGGGGGGACCTTCTTCATAAAGGCCACTGGGCTGGTCAGTTATTTCTTTAAAAAAAAATAGATTTATTGATGTATGCATACAAGAGCCAGGATACAGGCCAGAGGTGTGGGGGGTAAGAGGAGTCACCAGAGACAGAGTGGGGAACAGAACAGGCAGACTGACTGAAACACACTGCTGAGGGGAGCAGCAGGCGAGTCAGAAGAGGTCTGCTGTGCCATGTAGGTAGCTCCCTGGCTGGGGATAAAACTCTTGCTGCAGTGGCTGTGGATAGCTTCATAGGTTGCGTCTTAACCCCTTGTGCCACCCGGGAGGCCCTGGTCAGTTATTTCTGACCTATCACTTAAGGCCCTGGAATAGCAGTTCAGGCTCTCCTGTGACCCCAGAACACACACCTCTGACATGCGGCAGTCTTCACACATCACAGACTTGGGAAGCTATGTTCAAGCTGACCCAAATCATGGATGTGACTTAGGCCCTCACTTTAAATGTCAGCAAATCGTTGCGGTGAGTCACACGAGTTAATAACTTGTTGGGACCAGAGCCCTAGGCCCCCAGGTTTCGAGTTCCATTTTCTTCTCCATGACACTCATTTGCTTTAACATGTTTTTGAGGGCTCTGCCAGTAATGGCGCCTGGGGGCAGGACTTCAGCTCTGAAAGGACTATCCTCCAGGCTTTTCTCTTTGGGAGATCTGGCAAACATACCGAAAATAACTACAATACAAAGTAGTAAGTACTAAAATAGTATTGGGGCCTCCCTGGTGGCACAAGGGGCTAAGTTGTAGCATTATGAAGCTATCTGCTGCCACTGCAGCACAAGTTCGATCCCTAGCCAGCCAGGGAGCTACCCACGTGGCGCAGCAGACCTCTCCTGTCGCGCCCGCTGCTCCCCTCAGCAGTGTCTTCAGTCAGTCTGCCTGTTCTGTTCCCTGCTCTGTCTCTGGTGAATCCTCTCACTGTCCACCCCCCAACCCCCACACCTCTGGCTTGTATCCCAGTTCTTGTATGCATAAATAAATAAATCTTCAAAAAATAAAAGAAAATAGTGTTTATGCCAAGCGAGTAGAAAAAGGCCAGTTTAATTATTTTTATGGCCACTGTCATCTCCACCTAGACATGGAACTGGCCAGAGGCTGTTCAGGGCCTCTGGATTTGTCTCCAACAGCAGCTCCACAGGGGTTTGGTGGCTGGGGAGTCCACAGGGGAACATGTGGCAATGTCTGTGGGGGGAGGGGTTGCTATAGGCATCTAGTGGGTGGAGGCAGAGATGCCGCGGACCACCCTACAAGGCACAACAGAGAATTATGCAACCCAGATGACAGTCACATGGAGGTTGAGAAACCCGGCACAGGATGTCGTCTCATCAGGGGCAAAAACAATCTTGCGAGGCAAAAACATCTAGGCCACAACAGGCATATGAAAAAATGTTCAACATCACTTGTCATCAGGGAAATGCAAATCAAAACTACCATGAGATACCATCTTACACCAGTGAGAATGGCACATATTAAAAAAACTAGCAACAACAAATGTTGGCGAGGGTGTGGAGAAAAAGGAACTCTTCTGCACTGTTGGTGGGAGTGCAAACTGGTCCAACCACTGTGGAAAGCTGTGTGGAGATTTCTGGACCTACTAAACATAGAGCTTCCATATGATCCAGCAATTCCACTCCTAGGTATTTACCCAAAGGACACAGAAACATCAATTCCAAAGAGCACCTGCACCCCTATGTTTATAGCAGCACTATTTACAATAGCTAAGCTTTGGAAACAACCCAAATGCCCAAAAATAGATGACTGGATCAAGAAGATGTGGTACGTATACACCATGGAATATTACTCAGCAATCAAAAAAGATAAACACATGCAATTTGCAGCAACATGGATGGCGCTGGAAGGGATCATGCTCAGCGAAATAAGCCAAAAAGAAAAAGAAAAATACCGGATGGTCTCACTCATAGCAGGAATCTAGAAAACTTAAATAAGGGACCAGGAAAATGAATAACTATAAGAAAGTGAAAATCAAAATCAACAAAAAACTATGAACCAGAGACACTTTTGGGGGGCGGGGGCGGGAGGGGAGGGATTGGGGTCAGAATGGGGGGGCTGCAATTGTATGGGGAATATAACAATAAAATTTATAAAAAAAAAAAAAATCTAGGCCACTACAATGGTTTCGGACACTCCAAAGGGCCATGGTACATAAAGGACAGCACACGCGTGGTCGCACCAATTCATGGGCAGGGGAGGCTCTTGAGGGGAAAATGTCCAAGCAGCTTGGTGGGGGGCAGGGGCAGTAATAAAAAATAAAAAAGGTGAAACACTGGTTCACAGAAACCCCCCAAAGTATGGGGGCTCCTACCCATCGTCTCTGGAGGGGCTCAGCAGTGGGGCCACAGAGAGCTGGGCTCGCTGGGGTCGGGCTCTTCAGTGTCCTCCTCTGCAGCAGGGTTAGAGCTTGTCTCTCCTGCTAGGACACTCAGGGCACCGAGGCCCAGCCCCTGCCACACGGGCCTGCCCCTGCGAGTTGGAGCAAGTCGCTGGGTTTTGTCCCCATGGGGATGAACGTCCACTGCAGTTCAGGGGGAAACCTGTCGGACTGGGGACCCCTGGAGGCCGGAACACAGGCTTTGCCAGGCCAAGCTTCCTTTCCGTGTCTCCACCAGAGTTTCCATCTCCTTCCTGTGCCTCACACCCTGTCCCTGCCCCCTGAAAGTGCTCCCCGACATTCTGCTGTTTCAAATATATCATAAAATAAAGTGCCGCTGACTACGCCCACTCGGCAAGTGGGGACCCGCTTAACTATCTCACCTTGCCTGACTTGAGGCTCAAGTCCTTTATTTATTTATTTTTTTTAAGATTTATTTATTATTTACACAAGCACTGGAAACAGTCAGAAGCGCGGGAGGGTGAGAGAATTCACCAGAGCCAGAGCGGGGAGCAGAGCAGGCAGAAGGACCGAAGTACACTGCTGAGGAGAGCAGCGGGCGGCAGGAGAGGTCTGCGCGCCATGTGGGACCCTCCTCCGGTGGCCGGGGAGCAGCCGGGGATCGAACCGGCGCCACGGAGGCCGCGGGCAGCTTCACGACCCAGCGCTCAACCGCTGCGCCACCGGGGAGGCCCTCAAGTCCTTTAGATTTGCTTTCAGGGGCTGCCCGGGGGTCGCCGCAGCGCCGGCCTCCGTCCTAGGGGCCCGTTGCTCTCCCGACTCCTGCCTTCTCGGGCGCGCGCGGCCAGCGCGGCTGCAGGTGAGGGTCGTTCCGGGGACGGGGTTGAGGGGGAGGAAATCACGCCGGCCGGGGGGCCGCGCAGAGAAGTTTCTCCCCAGACCAGTCCGCTATGCGGCCGGGGACATGGGGGCCCCCAGGGGCGGCGCGCACCTGCCCATCGCCTCCCGCCCCGCGGCGTCCCGGCAGCCCGCGGTGATCGGCGGTCGCTGCTCGCGTCCCGGGGAGGCACATGCGCCCCGCGCCCCGACACCCCGCGCCCCGCCGCCCTGCCGCCCCGCGACCCCGCCGCCCTGCGCCCGGACTCCCCGCGCCCCGCGCCGCCCCGCGCCCCGACTCCCCGCGCCCCCCGCCGCCCTGCGCCCGGACTCCCCGCGCCCCCCGCCGCCCCGCGCCCCGACTCCCCGCGCCCCCCGCCGCCCCGCGCCCCGACTCCCCGCGCCCCCCGCCGCCCCGCGCCCCGACTCCCCGCGCCCCCCGCCGCCCCGCCGCCCCGCGCCCCGACTCCCCGCGCCCCCCGCGGCTCCGCGCCCCCCGCCGCCCCGCGCCCGGACTCCCCGCGCCCAGCCGCCCCGCGCCCCGGCCGCTCACCTCCGCCAGCCGCCCGTGGCTCCTGGCCTGGGGCGCGGGGCCCCGCGGCTTCCGCAGGGGGAGTCCCGGCCCCGCGGCCAGCAGCGCGGCCAGCAGCCCCGCGCCGAGGAGGAGCCCGGCCCGGCCCCGCAGTCCCGGCATCGTGTCCCTCGCGCGCCCCGCGCGCCCCGCCCGCTCCGGCTCCCGCTCCCCCGAGGCTGCCGGCGCGGGTCGGGGTCCAGGGCGAGAGCGCGGGGCGGGCGGCGGAGGCGCGCGGGGCGGGGGCTCGCTGCTCGCCGCCCTCCTGGGCTCCGGCCCGCGGGGGCGCCCGCCTGTCCCCCGCCTCTTGGAGGGGCGGCCCCTCCCCTTCCCCGGGCGGGTCTCGGCCCGGCGGCGGCTCTTTCTGATCTGGTCGCCTCGCGCCTCCAGTCCCGCCGCCGTCGTCGTCGCAGCCCCAAGCGAGCTCCTGCTCGGGGGAGCGGCCGCCGCCGGCCACGGGGCGCGCTCCAGCCCGGCGCCGCGATGCCCGCCCGGCCAGCCCAGCCCAGCGCGCGCCGACGGCCCAGCGGGGGCGCACGCGCCGCCAGGGCACCGCGGGCCAGGGGCGCGCTGCAGCCCCCGCAGGACGCTGCGGCTCTGGGGCAGGTGTTTATCTACACCCAGGGGTAGCGCGGCCAGCAGGAGGCAGGCCTGCAAATAACCCCCTCCCCAGGCTCTGCCTGCTGCAGGCGGAGATCGGAGGAAACGCGCTGACCCAACCCCTGCCTCTCTGCGCCCAGTGTCCTCTGGGGGTTCTCAGAGCACTTCACAAGCCTGCAGAGTCGCGCTCAGACGTGAGGACAAACGCCCCGGACAGCAGCTGGACGCGCTCGAGGGCGTGGCTGTATCCTCCGGCCTCTTCCACGGCGAGACAGGGGCACCCCCACTCTGGCCCGCGAGACTCTGCAGGGATGCTCAGGTGCAGGCACGGGGCTCACAGAATTAAAACTCTCCGTTTACCATGAAGATCAAGCGCGAGCGGCAATAACAATCTTAGCGGCCTGGATGCGGCCCGTCGGGGACTAGGAGCGCAGTGGCGCGGGGAGGCGCGGGTGGCGTCGGGTTTGGACAGTCAGCGGGGCGCAGCCACAAGGCCTTGGGAAGATGCTGGAGAAGGGCCGGAAAGCAGGCATAGGGGTAACACTTGGCTGGGGGGGAAACTCTTCGGAGATGGGAACAGTTCTGAGAAGCCCCCACCCCCCAAAGCACAGCCCAGGGCCCTGCAGTATTTTGGATGGTGCGTCACAGGGAGCGCAACCTCATCTGCAGTCTGGACTTTGGGATTGGAATTCCGGATACAACAATGTACCAAGTAGCTGATATTATTAAACAAAATTTTTTAATTAAAAAAATTTATGCATACAAGAACTGGGGGGTAGGCCAGAGGTGCAGGGTGTGGTGGTGAGAGGATTCCTCAGGGCCGTAGTGGGGAGCAGCACAGGCAGATCTACTGAAATACATTGCTGAGGGGAGCAGTGGGCGAGAGATGCACCGCGTGGGTAGCTCCCTGGCCAAGGATTGAACTCATGCCGCAGTGGCTGGCGATAGCTTGATAGCGCTGAGACTCACAACCCCCGTGCCATCAGGGAGGCCCCTTGAACAAATTCTTTTACAGTTCTGTGCTTTTGTCAACTGTAGAAGTGTGTGTTGTGGGAGGAGGAAGAGATGCAGTGAGGCATAAATAAGAAACCCTGCTGAATTAGGTTTATGTGAGGATGAACTATGTGAAGTCACCATCTTTTTGACAGAAGGGTCAAACACTGCAAGTTCTACGATGCACACTCAGATGTCAGCCAGAAGAAACCTATTTGAGCACCTGCGATACCATATGGCTTTTATTAGACTAAATAAATACAAATGGCCTCTTTGCGCTTTGTTTTTTAGGGTTTTTTTTTAAGGGAGGGTGCAAATATATTCACATCTAACCTAATACTTTGTTTTTTCATCAAACTTTTGCACCTTCCACAAGATCAAATTTGGAGTTTGAGGATAGTGGGTTCATTCATTCATGTGTCTTGTGTCCAAGTCAGTCACCACCACTCTGTTCCGCCTTGCCTGGACACTTAGCATAACCCAGGACAGGTCCTGCTGTAGCCACTCTTGTTCACACTTCCCCCTCCCAATGCCATCGCTTCTCTTTTCTTCTTTAAATCAATTTCATTGGGATATAATTTATGTCTATACAATAAGCATACCTAATTTAATTGTACAGATCAATGAATTTTGACCAATGTGAACGTCCAGGTAGCCACCGCAGGTACAACAGAGAACCTTCCTATGATCCAATTTCCTCTTGTGCATGATAGGAAAAAACTGTGGTTCCAGGCAAAACAATGCATCACCTCCTTCTGAGTGGTCCGAGTTCAGTCTTTGATTGCCTTTGAGCTATTGTATGATTCTGTAGGTTGTAGGTAACTTAGTAGCAAAACAAAATAATTGTTTGTCCATAGAAATGCAAATTCTGCCCTGTTCTGTAGAGGTTCAACTGATCTTCCTCGCCGAGTGTGGAAGAAACAAACCAGTTGTGTTTTCACTGGCACATTCATTTCTGTATTCCCGCTCTGTAAATGTGTTTCACTCTCTCTTTTGAACTGATTATAATATCCTTATGTTTCCTATTGAACAAGTTAAATACAATCTTTAATTGATGCTCATTTTTATATTTGTTGGAGTCATGATTGGTTAAAAAACATTATTTTAACAGTCCCATGCAAAGATAATCCCTACCCTCCACCCTTTGCTCTTGGCAACCACTGATCCACTCACTCGCTGTCACTCTAGGCTGGTCGTGCCTTCCTAGCATTTCATATCAATGGAATTGTTAGGGTGTGACAGAGGGGTACCCCAGGACCCTCAAACTTGCATGCTTTAAATGGGTCAGGCCATCTGTGCGCACAAAGTATGTTAGTGTGAAAGGTCTTTCATAGAATTGATGTGCTTAGAGAGAGAAAAAAGAATATTCCAAATAAAACACTCGATCCCCTTGTGGACATTTACCCAAATGTCTGGCCAAACACTGCTGCCTGGAAGGGAGGCGGCTGAGGCCCCAGAGCTTGCCAGACGTCTAAGGCGCCTTCTGGCAGGGATAGAAAAGGGCAAAAGGGGCCAGGCGAGACTGGGATGAAAGGAGGAAAATCAGAGAACAAATCAAGATAAAGGCCGGCATCCCCACGTCGCTCACGTGCGTCTCTCTCTGCTCAGTGTCTAGGTGTCTCTCCTCCAAGGCCCCAGATCCAAGTCCAAAGCCAAGAAGGAAGCGAGCCCTTCCTCCCCGTGTCTGCCAGAGCCCATCTGCCGCGCAGGTTCTGTGCTTCACCTGGCTCCTCAGATCCCCCCACAGCGGAGCGTGGCACCTCCCCAACAGAATCAGGGTCACGTGTTGTTTTATTTGGCTTCTTCAGCGTGTTTTTGAGATTCCTCCATCTTGTAGGTATGGTCCTCGCGACACTATCCGAAGGATAGACCGCATCTGTTTACCCACTCACCATGATGGCATGTGGCTTATTTTCACTCTGGGTCTGGTATGAAGCAAGCAGCTGTGAACACCCACGGGCACGGCCTGTGTAGATGTGCTCTCACGTCTCTTGGTTGAATGCAATGGCTGCCCCCAAACTGCCAAATTGTTCTCTCAAATGGCTGTTTCATTTTGCATTTCCACATACGGCTAATACTTAGCATTATAATTCTTTTTAAACGTAGCTATTCTAGTGGATGAGTGGTAGAATCTTTTTTTTTTTTAATTTTATAGTGGCATGTTTATTTATTTGTTTGTTTGTTTTTTGTTTATACATGCACTGGGTACAGTCCGAAGCGCGGGAGGGTGAGAGAATTCACCAGAGCCAGAGCAGGGAGCAGAACAGGCAGACAGACAGAGGACACTGCTGAGGGGAGCAGCGGGCGGCAGGGGAGGTCTGCGCACCATGTGGGACCCTCCTCCAGTGGCCGGGGAGCAGCCGGAGATCGAACCGGCGCCGCAGAGGCTGCGGGCAGGTTCACAACCCAGCGCTCAACCGCTACGCCACCGGGGAGGCCCTAGAATCTTAATGTAGTTTGACAGTGCGTTTCCCTAATGCTCAGCGATGTTGGGCCATTTATTTATGTATGCATACAAGAACTGGGGTACAGGCCAGAAATGCGGGGCGGGGGGGGGAGTGGCAGGTGAGAGAATTCACTAGAGACAGAGTGGGAGGCAGGACAGGCGGATCTACTGAAATACACTGCTGAGGGGAACAGCGGTCGCGACAGGAGAGGTCTGCTGCACCATGTGGGTTGCTCCCTGGCTGGGGTTCTGCAGATAGCTTCGTAGTGCTGAGACTTAACCCCTTGCGCCACCAGGGAGGTCCTACTGGCCATTTATTAATGTACCTCATTTGTGAGGTGCTTGTTCAAATCCTCTGCCTCTCTTTTATGGAATAATTTCATGGCCGAGTTTTAAGGGTTCTTCGTACATTCTGGATAGAAAACCTTCATGGACACGTGTGTTGTGGATCTTTTATCCCAGTCTGAGTTTTGTCTTCTCGTCTTGCTATTTTAAAGTTGTCACTTTAAGTCCAGTTTATCAATTATTTTCAGTCACTCTTCTTGTGTCATAAGAAACATCGCCTAACCCAAAGTCACATATTTTTCATGTTTTCTTCTATAAGTTTTATAGTTTTAACATTCAGATCTATGACTTGATTACTGTATAAATGGGTTGAAGTTCATTTCCCCTTAGATACACAGTTTTGCCATCACTGGATAAAATAACTGTACTTTTCCCACTGAATTAACTTGGCATATTTGTCAAAGGTCAATTTACTATACAGCAGTGGGTATATTTCTGGAGTCTCACTGATTTGTATGACCATCCTAATGCCAAGTTTACCGTCCTGATACTGTAGCTTTGTAGAAAGTTATGATGCCAGGTAATGTAAGTTTTTTCAAGATTGTCTGGGTCTTATTTTTCTATGTAAATTTTATCAGCTTGTCAGTCTACAAAAGCATGCTAGTGGTTATCTCTTTCAGTAAACTTTCCACTATTTCTACCAGTGCCCGAGATAAACTCCTAACAGCCCAATGCAGCCCCAGCTACCATCCCCTTACCAGCCTAGCCCCACCTCACCATTCACCCTCCATCTTTGCTCATGAAGTTCATCACACCAACGTTCTTTCAGACCCTCCAATCCTCAGGAAACTAGTTTCCTCTATCACTGCTAACCCAGATACTGGTTACAATCTTTTATCATGTTCTCTAGCACTCAGTATGTGTGTGTATATACATCACTTAGTATATATATTAGCACTTTGTGTGTATATCACTTAGTGTATGTGTATATATATATATCACTTAGTATATATATTAGCACTTAGTGTGTGTATATCACTCTGTGTGTGTGTGTGTGTGTGTGTGTATGCCTATTTGTTTACTAGAAAGTAGGAACCCCACTGACTTGTTCCCTCTGTTGCCAGTAATGCTCAGTACAGTGCCTGGCAAGGAAGTAGCACTAGGTATTTATTGGTTGAATGAACAAAGGCAGATGTATCTTTCTGAATATTTTATTGGGGAAAAACAATATATTTATTTGCATGGGATGATTCTTAAGTCATTTTGAGTAGTTCTGTTTGTAACATTTACACTCAAAATGGAGACATCTACCCCCAACCCAGTATGGATAGCTTTAGTGTTCCAACAAAATTAAAAAGGGAGATGGGAGTAAGGAGAAAGAGTGACATTTTAACACACTACTAAAATTTAAAAAATGTTTATTTACATTTCCCCTTCTCTGTCAGATTATACGAACATTACAGCAGTGGAGGGGGTTATCACAGCACCTCTTGCAAATTCCAGATTACAGGTAAATTGGTGAAAGGAAAATTATGGGCCAACAAAATAAGGAGCTCAGCTCCCCGTAAGCTATTTTTCTATTCCTATTCTCTTTCCCCCTTCTCTTAGTGTTAGCTATCTTTCTACAGAGAGGGATCATCAAGACTGTGGGCATGCTGGCCCAAGTTCAGGGTCATACCACCAGTATCATGTGAAGAACCATCAGGAATGCTTTTTATCATTCCCACATTGGTCTAACATCACAGAGGTTACAAGGCCTAATATTCAGTGTGGAGGCTGTCACCACTCTACTCTAGCCAGTGATAAACCCACACTCCTTACAAGGCCTGGGCTAAGTGACCAAGCTTTGCACAAGAAACTTGGGAATTGTGCTGGAGAAAGCATTCGGAGTTGGCTCAAGGCTCCCCGTGCCTGTCAGGGTCACATCCACGCACATGGCAACGAGGCAGGACAGGCAGTGTGTCAGGTACTTGCTTTTGCCTTTCATTCAACCTCCCCAGAGTTGCTCTGAAAGAACAGAACTTTGGGTATTGCTTCAGTAAAAACACAGTAACTGTAGTTTACAAGTCTTTGCATCCTTTAGGGCCACTTTATTATAACTCATCATACCACAGAGAATCACAGTTTAAGGCCATTTATCACATATACTATGTAGTAAGCAAGAGCTGGCCACAGCCTCCCACTAAGTCACTCTCAAGGGTCAAGGGGAATGTGACGCCCTCAGAGTCCCTGTGAAGACTAGGCCAATCATTTTGAATAAGAGCTCAAGCTAGCCCCTATGGTTTCCTCCCCAGAACTCAATCTATAGCAAAAAGTCACTGGAAACCATGAACAGGGCAACTGCATTTCCTATACAGATACACACGAAGGAGACACTAGCCAATCCTGGCATTTCTTCCATATGAGGGAGGAAGCCAGCCTTCTAATTGGGCTACCTGGGACATGGCACCCAGCTAGAAGCCTGACATTACATTTCATGTGGATAACGCTGAGGCGAGAAGGGACATACTCTTCTCCAAGTGAAAGGAATTTTATTTAACTGGCTTAATGGATTAAGATGCCTACTGGGCACTGAGCTTCCAGGTTAAGCAGGTAGCAGCATATCTATAGGCTTTGGGGCTGCATTTAAGCAAGCAGCTGCTCAACAGCTAAGAAGAATCCTTTGACTTTCCTAGCTCCCCCTTCACAAGCCCTTTGGGCTACACTAATTTTACCTGTATGAAATACTCAACAGTTCTTGAACTTCAAGAAGATAGAAGAAAAATCACTACTCTCCCCCTTTCTCTAAAAACACAGACTATAGCAAGTAGAGATTAAAGCCCATTTTGGCTTATCTATACCAGCAAGAAAGACACCCTGGGAATTAGGTCACAGCGATTCTCTATGTAAGAGAACCAGGAAATAGTAAATTGCATTTAACTTTCTCTAGGGGGTTCTGCCACACGCCCACAAATTCCTACAAAACAAAAACCAAAATTCTCTTTCTTCACTGCCTATGGCATGAGTGGGGCCAGAGAGCCTCATCGGTCTGCAAAGAGGGACCGGGGAGGGGCACAGGCAGTGCGGATATCATCACTTTCCCCACTTCTCAGCTCCGCCTAAGCCATTCTTCCTCACGGTTTTTGAGAAGTGAAGCGTATTAGACTCTCATATTCTGCCAGATTCTAGACTGCACCAGCCCGGAGAACCTTAGATAGAGGCTCCCTGGAGCAGGGAAGAGAGAAGCCTGCCCACAGCGGCTCCCACCACGTGAAGCTGAGTAGGAGGGGACAGGGCATCTCTACCACCCCCAGGCGCAGCACCACAGAGAGTCTCCGGAAGTGGAATTCTAAAAACTGAGAAGTGAGAGGTACAGAAAGAAAAGGCCAAATACAGGGGGGCGGAGTTACCGAGACAAACCACTGAAGGGATATTCAATCCCCGCCTGAGAGAGCACCACATCAACGCACCAGTCCGCGCAACAACGTGGCTCCAGGAGCCCGCGGCTTGTTCTGACCATTGGAAACCCGCACTCGCTCAAGCAAGCCTGACGTGGTGATGAAAGGACGAAGATACTGGTTTTGAAATGAGCAAGTAGTTCTTTGGGCTCTGGAGGCTAGGCGGTTATTTAAAGGGAAGAGATTTTCCAAAGCAAAGCAGAAAGAAAAAAAAAAAAAAAAAAAAAAGTGCTCGAAAGACCTCACCCATGCACATTCTCCATCAGTATTTACTTGCTTTAGAACAAACATACCACGTCCTAGGTTAGAGCTTTTAAAATAAAGGTGGGAGGAGAAACTGCCACTCGACTCAATCCAATCTTTTGTGTATGATTTTTGTGTCCCCTAGTCACACATTTCCTGGTTTCTGATGTGATCTGCAGAAAGAGGTCTTACAGACTTGAAATAGACAAAGACAATGTGAAGTTAAAAGAGGGATGAGGAAAAGGGGTAAAGACTAGTCACAGCTCAACTTTGGTCCTGACGGTCAGCTGGCACCTGTTAGGATCCTGATTCCGGAATCAGGCTGCAGCAAACCGTGTACTAAACAATGTCTCTATGTCGCAGATTTCTACACATTCCCAATGGATTTATTTATATACATTTATATTTCCCCCAAGTGCTTGGTTAAATAATGATTCATGTGATATGACTGGACCCTAGATTTATATTACAATTTCCAGAAGAGACAGTCAAGTGTATATAATGTTTTGTCCTCTAGAAAGTCAAAGTCTGGGAGAGCACACGAGTTTTGTCTCTTCAAAATAAACTTGTAACTTAACTACATTTATCCTGAAATAACTTTGCACCAGCAAAAGGATTTATATATATATCTATCTATATTATTTTTTTCTTTTTCGGATGCTCATACTGACATTTTGTATTGCAGTGATTTCATGCAAGCCAAACTAAAAACACTAGCAGGTAAGTTCACTGCTTGAAATTTGTGATTTTTACAAACAGTAGAATATTAAAATAGTAACTGTAGTGTGAAAGCTAATGGAATTCTATGGTGAGGAATTAGAAATGCAGGAAAGGGTAGCAACATATTTTACTTAGTTGTCACAATCTCTTCTTTATTTCTGTACCTGCTAAACATATTCCCTGCATCTCTACTTGGTTCTTCTAGTCATCTCTCTCTAGTCTTTAAAAAAGTAAAATGAAAACCTTGGAATATTTCAAGGGCTTAAAGCTCTCAGATGCTGAGAGTGATCAAAGATAACTTATACTAAAGACATGAAAAGAAAACTTCACGAACAGCAACAGTGCTTATGTCCTCCAGTCCACATATCTGCACAAACATACCACAAGTCATGACAGATGCCCAGAAGAATTTGGACTGAGACTCTTTACCAACAAAGGGAGGCGTCTCAAAAACAGAAGATGTGCAAAACCGCTTTCACACACTGTTTCCGATCCTTCCCCCACAATACTTGAAGGTTGCTAAAAGACAAGCTGATTTTGGGTATAAGAAAGTTAAAAGCTCTATTCACTGAAGCTTTGGTCAACAGAAAAGAAGTAAGAACATTTAACATGGTAAATTTCAGATTGGCTCTTTGGTCAAGCAGTGCAAAGCTCTCCGAAAGAAATTCCCTTCCCTGTCATGAAAACTGTCAAAACAGATGATCCCAGTGGATCCTAGTTTAGCAAAAAGATGTGTGTTCAGATTTTTCAGGGAGGAAAAAAAAAGTAATGGAAGATAAAGAGACCCTATATCCCAGACACCAGCATAGAAAAGTCTTATTAAGACATTAAAAGAGAACTAACAGTCAAAAGAGTAATATTTAAATGGGTCCATTAAAAAAAATCACTTCTACCCTTAAATAGGAACATGCAAAATGATTTCTGAGCAGAGGATTTACCAACCTTTTTCCTTTATCAGTTTTAATTCTAATCTGGACCCAGACACAGGCAGAAGCTGTCTATTTTAAAAAGTAGAAAGCCGGAAGGAGCCTGGGTTGTAATCAGTTCTCTCTTCTGCCCCGCCCTCTCACCTGGCAGGTGTGCCCATCTCAACTCTCCTGAGCAACTCTGGACACAGTGAGGTGGGAGAGGCAGCTTCACCACAGAGGTCTGAGCAGGGTGGGTGGGATGTGGGTGCTTTTAAGACGAGTGTTAGGTTACAGAATGGGAAGAACCCAGAAACTGGATGTACCCTCAAATGGCAACCATTACAAAGAAATATTGCATGTGAAGGGAGAAGTCAGGTGGAACAAGGTCAAGCCCTGGAGGCTCCCGGCCAGGGGGTGTTAGAGTGAAGTCAGAGTTCACTGTTGTTCTTAAACGTCTAAACGAAAGACCAAAGGGAAGACACGCTGGCTGAGGACCTGACTGACTGACTGGGATTCCAAAGTTGGCGACCTCTGAGACCTGGACTGGAAGTAAGTGGAAGGCACTTGCTCCCGAGGGAGGAGGCCAGGTGAGCCTCAAGGCTGCAGTGATGGGCTGGGGGAGGGCCAAGGCCTGTGTGGTTAGCCAAAGACAGGACAGGGTCAGTGTGATTTCACAAGTAGAATAGTTATAAAATAAAACATTTTTTAATGGACAAAAAAGCAAAGTGAGTCTACCTCTTTTTGGTAAAGGTGAAATATAGTAAAGGAAGGATATGAAGTAATTTTCACTATTTACAGAATGACATTTAGAGTGGAGGTGGCCACCATCAGCAGTTGAGGCAATGTCTTTCACGTGAGATGGCCACAGAGGCGTGGCTCCTGGAACAGTGCAGGAGGGCCACACACTGTCCTAGGTGAGGGAGATTCCTCTAAGGGAGCACCAAAAAGGCTCAGTCTTCTGTTTCTTCATATGTAGTCTCGTCAAAGGGTCTGTCCAGTAGAGGCACCAACCGATGGCGGGAGTACTTCAGCTGCAACAGGTCCCCAACTTCATCTATTTCTTTCAAAGCCTGAAAAACAGACAGAGCAGAACTTAGTCTGAGCCAGTAGGAGGCAGGTACGCCTGATGCTTTTTCTGAAAACAGTCATGGCAAGGTCATCCTCTGGGGGGACCTTTCGAGCCTGTGCTTACTGAGATCAGACTGCAGGACAGCTAGGAAAAGAGCTGCCTTTTCAGGTGACCATGAATAACGGGTTGTGAACAGCAGGTATGCAGGAGAAAGGGTAGACTTCACCAAATGCCTGGCAGAAAAAGGTACATGTACCCTGAATTTGCAGGTTTGGTTACAATTTGTCATTCCTCTTTTTATAATTAAATATTTGCTCTTTTCTATAATCACACTGCCAGAAAACGATGACAAGTCTGCCTTGAGATGCTTCCTAAATGCTGGATGAAAGTGGAAGCTACTGGGAGGAGATTGGGCAGGTAGTAGCTGTAGTATAGCAAGGAGAGGATAGAACTGGTATTTGAATTAAGATCTGATTTTAAAGTCCAAAATTGTCCAAAGAGAGATGATCTTGTCTTCCTTTAAAACTATCTCCATAACTTTCTTTTCTAAAGTGTCCGGGGATTTGTCAAGAAGATGGCTTCAAAGGAAGTTCACTGCTTTGCTCTGGGAAGAATTGAGAGGTCCAGATAGGCACCCAACTCAGAGAATCCTGTGATGTGTCTGTACCGCACAATCACCAGGGACCAAGCTGACTGAGAATGACAAAACAGACATAGAAGAAAATCAAATTCAAAGAAACTGTAAGTAAAACAAAAAGACACCCCAATGAACAGGAGAAGTATTTGTACACCATACCTCTAGCAAGGGGGTGATATCCAAGACCTACAAAGAACTTATACAACTCAACAAAAAGAAAACAAACAACCTAATCAAAAAATGGGCAGGAGAGCTACACACACAGGCACGTCTCCAAAAATACATATAGATGTGGCCAACAGGTACATGAAGAAATGTTTATTATCACTTACTGTCAGGGAAATGCAAATCAAAGTCACAAGATACCACCTTGCACGTGTGAGAAGGGCCCATATTGAAAAGGCCAGACTGGCCAGCACCTTGGAAAGCTGTGTGGATGCTGCTCAAAAGACAAAAAAATGTATCAGCCATTCGGCCCAGCAACTTCACTCCCAGGTATCCACCCAAAGAATACAAAGATTTGAAGGGAAATCTGCACTCCTATGTTCACTGCAGCACTATTTACAGCTGAGCTATGGAAATGACCTAAATGCCCAAATACAGATGAACTGATCAAGAAGATGGAGTCCTACTCAGCTATCAACACAACGAAAACAAAAAACTGGCATTTGCAACCACATGGATAAAACAGGAGGGGATTATGTTAAGAGAAATACTGGAAGGTATCCCTTATAGATAGAACACAGAGAAATCAAGAAAAGGGCCAGATAAAGTCAAACTAACAACAAACCTTAGAGAGCTGACTAAAACTGGGGTCTCCCTGGTGGCCTAGGGATTAAGTCTCAGAGCTATATCACTCAAACCCCAGCCAGGAAGCTACACACATGGCGCAGCAGACATCTCCTGTCTCGCCCACTGCTCCCCTCAGCAGTGTATTTCAGTCAGTCTGCCTGTTCTGTTCCCTACTCTGTCTCTGGTGAATCCTCTTACCTCCTGCATTCTGGCCTGTATCCCAGTTCTTCTATGCATAAATAAGTAAATAATCTTTTAAAAAAAAAGTTGACTAAAACTGAGGCAAACGAGGAGGAGAAGCAGGGGTGAGATCAAGGAGTGGAGGAACACAATGGACTGTGGGGGCTTTGGTGGTGTGTGTGGTGTGGCAACAACACCTGAAGTAGGAGATCCTATACTTCTAACTCACAAACAACATTGGAAACTGATGTTACTGCAATTAAACAAACAAAAAACCTTTTCTGTGAAACCTGCTTGATGATTTTTTCAAAGAAAATGTTTCTTATAAAAGAGTTCAAACACTGAGTCTGAGGCAAGTTATGAAACAACAAGTCTCCCCTCCATTGTTGCACTTGCACTACCTGCTGGAGGCGTAATCTTTGTATGGTTTCTTATACATGTATTTTAATTATTTTTTTAAAAGATTTATTTATTTATACAAGAACCAGGGCACAGGCCAGATGCACGGGAGGGTGAAAGGATTCACCAGAGACAGAGTGGGGAACAGAACAGGCAGACCAATGAAATACACTGCTGAGGGGAGCAGCAGGCGCGACAGGAGAGGTCTGCCACGCCATGTGGGACCCTTGCCGGCCAGGATCGAACCGGCACTGCAGAGGCTGCAGACAGTTTCACAGCCACAGCGCTGTGCTCAACCGCCTGTGCCACCAGGGGAGGCCCTTATACATGTATTTTAAAATAAACTCAGTGGACACATAAATATATACAGGAAAGTACATGAAACAGTCAGTTGAGAGTTAACCTTCCCAAAAAGCAGCAAAAAGAGCCAAAGTAAAAAATCCCAATACAAGACAGGGATGGGATGTGTGGTTGGAAATTGTAAGAAAAAAAATTTAAGGGAACGCTAGGGGAACTCGAAGCCCGAGATACCTCTCAAAGAGGAATCCATGCAAGAGAACAAAGATTCTGGAATCCCAATCAAGGCACCAAACACAGGTCACAGGATGCTGTTTTCAATTCATGGCAGCTTGCCAGCCTGCCCCTTACTCCCCAAGCACCTGCAGACTTTACCTGGGTCCCAATCACAACCCCTCACATACAATGGCTGTACCTGTGCCACCACCTGGTCAGACTGCCAAACAGTACGGCGGCGGGAGAAACCTGGGGCCTGCGTATGACTCTACACTCATTCTTAGGGTTACAGCCCCTGTGAAAATGTCTATCTTCCAGTTCAGAAAAGGGAACCAGTTAATTATTATAAGATATATTTATCTGTTAAATTCATCCTTAAATTTAATTTTTAAAACCCATGTTTGTAGAGAAAAAAATCATCAGTAAATAACATTCCCTTATGTATTCTGGTGTAAGAAAAAAATATTCTTCACTTTAAATGTGAGATATATAAAAAGCAAACAAGAGTTGGATTTCAATATGGTATCAGAATAGTGGTACTTCTGAGAAGACATTTCACTGAAAGCTACATATGGAAACAATTTAAGATTGAATTTCAGCTGGGAGGCCCCATTAGCCATTTATCCCTGACCTCTGATACAGTATTAATTTAAAACAACACATGACTTACTAAAGTAAAGGACATTTATGAAGTCTGACTTCAGAAGAACTTAATGTTTTCATCAATGTAAAAAAGAAAATGAACAGAGACAGAAAAAAGACCCACAGTAGCCTAGGGGAATTTAGGTTACACGATTTCCTCTGATCTCACACCAAATATTTCAGATGAATAAGTTTTACTTACACAGAAGATAAAATTGTAACTAGAAACTGCTGGCTATTATATGTAGGGCTACCTGGTTATGGGAATAAGGAGCCATTACACGCATCACCATTTGTTACCAGCCTACATTAAAAGTGTGCATCACAGGTAAGGTGCGTTCTTAGGAAGAAAACATGTTAACTGGAGGGGTGAGAATGGTCTTGAATAAAAGCATATTTGAGGATAGCTGTGTCTTGATTGTTAAAATAACAGCTAACAGAACTACAATTCACATGCCACAATATTCACCTTTTAAAAGTGTACAAATCAGTGTTTACTAGTATATTTTATGACTTTCATCATTATCTAATTCTAAAGCAGTATCATCTCAAAAAAGAAGCCCCGTACTCACCTCAATCAATCCTTACTCTTCCCCCAGCCCTTTATGACCACCAACCTGTTTTCTGACCCCATGGATCTGCCTATTCCAGGTATTTCATATAAATGTGGTCTTCTGTGTTGGGCTTTTTTACTTAGCATATTTATTTTTTTAAGATTTATTTTTATTTATTTATGCATACAAGAACTGGGTGTAGGCCAGAGGTGTGGGTGTGTGTGTGGGGTGGGAGGATTCACCAGAGACAGTGGGGAACAGGACAGGCCAATCTACTGCAATACACTGCTGAGGGGAGCAGGGGCGAGACAGGCAAGGTCTGCTGCGCCATGTGGGTTAGCTCCCTGGCCAGGGAAGAAGCTCATGCCGCAGTGGCTGGTGATAGCGTGATTGCACTGAGACTTTAACTCCTGTGCCACCAGGGAGGCCCTTAGTGTTAATTTTTTTTAAAAAGATTTATTTATTTATTTATACAAGCACTTGGTACAGTCAGAAGCGCGGGAGGGTGAGAGAATTCACTGCCAAACAGTACGGCAGCAGGAGAAACCTGGGGCCTGCATATGACTCTATACATGTCCCACACTCATTCTTAGGGTTACAGCCCCATGTGAAAATGTATACCTTCCAGGGCCTCCCCGGTGGCGCAGCGGTTGAGCGCTGGGTTGCGAAGCCTCTGCGGCCTCTGCAGCGCCGGTTCGATCCCCGGCTGCTCCCCAGCCACCGCAGGAGGGTCCCACATGGTGCGCAGACCTCTCCTGCCTCCCGCTGCTCCCCTCAGCAGTGTGCTTCGGTCCTTCTGCCTGCTCTGCTCCCCGCTCTGGCTCTGGTGAATTCTCTCACCCTCCCGCACTTCTGACTGTACCCAGTGCTTGTATAAACAAACAAACAAACAAACAAATAAATAAATAAAAATTCATGCCTCTTAAAAAGAAAAAAAGAAAATGTATACCTTCCAGTTCAGAAAAGGGAACCAGTTAATTATTAATAAGATATATTTATCTGTTAAATTCATTCTTAAATCTAATTTTTAAAACCCATGTTTGCAGAGAAAAAAATTCATCAGTAAATAACATTCCCTTATGTATTCTGGTATAAGAAAAAAATATTCTTCATTTTAAATGTGAGATATATAAAAAGCAAACAAGAGCAGGGAACAGAACAGGCAGACTGATGAAATACACTGCTGAGGGGAGCAGCGGGCGCGGCAGGAGGGGCCTGCATGCTATGTGGGACCCTCGCCAGTGGCCGGGGATCGAACCGGCGCTGCAAAGGCTGCAGGCAGCTTCGCAGGCAGCGCTCAACTGCTGCGCCACCAGTGGAGGCCCCTTAGTGTAATATTTTTATCCATGTTTTAGGGGTTCAACTTCACTCTTTTCCATGTAGCTATCTGCTTGTCCAGTACCATTTACTGAAGAGACTATTCATTCCCCATTGACTAGTCTTGGCTTCCTTGCTGAAAATTAGTTTGGTCATTGATGTTTGGATTTATTTGTGGACTGTCAATTCTATTTCCTTGGTCTGTATGTCTATCCTAATGCTAGAACTCTTTTAATTAATATAGGTATGCATTTAGTTTTGAAATTGGGAAGTTGGAATTCTCCAGCTTTGATTTTCTTTGTAATACTGTTTTCATATGAAAAGTTCCATATGAATTTGAGGACCAGCTTTTCCTATTTTTTCTGCAAAAAAGGCCACAGGGATGTAGACAGGGATTACCTTGGATTTACAGATCTCTGTACCGCCACCTTAACAACATCAAATTTTCCAGTTTGTGAACATGGGATGCCTTTCCATGTATTTAAATCATCTTTCAGCAATACTTTATAATTTTCAATATGCAAATCTTCCACCTCCTTGGTTAAATTCATCCCTATTTTCTTTTGGATATTATCACAAATGAAATTTTCTAAATTTCCTTTTCAACTAACTGTTCATTGCCGGTATACATAAACACTAGTTTTTATGTGTTTATCTTTCACTCCATATGTTGCTAAATTTTTTTTATTAGCTTGAACAGTTTTTTTTTGGTAGACTTTATGGCATTTTGTATATAAAATCATGTATATAAAATCGTGCACATAAAATCACGTCACATGGCCCATTATTAAGTGAAAATCAGTTTATATCTCAAAATGTTCATGTTCAGTTGGACAAAACATTACTAGACAAAATGACTTCAATAAACCTCTGGTTTCAAAAAATCCACTCTATGCTTTTAAAAAAAAAAAAGTAAAGTAAATGGAAGGCAAAGTAAAAAATTTCCTCAAGTACATCCTCTGAAAAGGATTATAACAATTGGCAAGCCTATTATTGGCAAATGAAATGTGCTTAGGTCTCCTAGTTGTATCTAAATTCTTTCAAGGACATGTACAGTTCTCAGAAATCTGTTAGTAGGAGACAGTGGATTATTATAGTCATTGCTTATAACAATAAACATTTTTAAAGTGTGTCTAGACTCCTAAATATCCAAATACAGTAGAATGGAGGAAAAGCTGAATTCACTGGATTAAATAAAAACCGATGCAGAAATTCATCAGTAAGATTTTTGAGAAATGGGAAAAACTAAATGAAAAAATTTGACAAAACCAAAATAAAAAGATACAGTAATACACTGAATCAAATTTCACAGTGTTGGAATGTGATGAAGACTATACTCAGATTTGTTTACATTTTGCTATGTATAAACAGGGAAGAAAAAAATCATTACTTCTGCTATTCAGAAACAGAAAATTTCAATTAAATAAACAAAAAACTTTTACAATATTCTTTAAGACAGAAGCTCTCCAATGTATTAATGAGTAATTCCTACAGCTGATTTTATGCAATGTCATGTTTCACAGCTCCTACAACGTGGTACTTATTTTAAGTCTGAAAACTTAGTTGTGAAAAAATAGAATATTGAGAGACTATATTAAAAGACTACAAATAATTAACTTCAGTGATAATTATGAGCCCCTACTATGTGTCTGGCACTTGTATGTGGTAGGCCCTGGGGATATAAATGAGTAAAACAGACATGGTCCCCAGGCTCAAGACTGATCTAATGGAGAAGATTACCATTAAATAATTACAGTTGTGAAGAATTTACAAAGAGGGCATCCTAAGGTCCCAAGGACACATATCTAGCAAGAAAATTTGAGAGTACCCTTAGGCAAGTTTCTTTTAAGAAGAAATGTGGTAAATAAGCCAAAGTGAGGAAAGTAAAGAGAGAAAATTCTAGAGGCAGACAACATACAAAAGACCTCAGAGTAGAAAAAGAATCCTACAGTTGCAGAGACTATACTGAGGGAGAGGATGCAACAAGATAAAGCTGGAATATCCCACAAAGCCCCTCCCACACATGGTCTGGTGAGAGATGCTGACAGGCAATTTGTTTGTAAACTGGAATGTTTTAAGCATCACTGTGTAACCTTTCTCTTCTTTGCCCATAAATATATTAGGTGATCAAAGAACACCAAGATCAAGAGATGATTTATTTCACCTGATATGCAGGCTGTTTCAGTATAGGATATATTTATGCCAAAGTGAAAAGGATTTACTTACAGTGTCAAGTATTTCTTTGGTATGCGCTGCGGACAGACAAAACCTGGCTCTGGACTCAATAATTGGGGTAGCAGGGAATCCCACCACCACCACACCGACATTCCGCTTCAGCATCTCCCGCCCAAAGGCGCTGCAAAGGAAGACAAACCCAAGTAGTAACACAGCACACAGGACAAAGGTCTTGCAGTCCTGAATGATCAACACTCTTGGGTAATACAGGCATTAGAAACTTCTATTAGGAATTTCCTCTAATTTCTTTTAAAGTTTAAATTGACAGTTCACAAAGACTTCTTTTATTCAATCCTAAGGTGATCTTCTCCCAAATGGTTTCCTTCACAAAGGGGAAAGAATAGAGTTGGCAGAGACCAACTTTTAACAGGGCTTGCCCTAAGTATCTTGCAGTTGTAGCCTTAAAGAATATTCTTGACAAGTAACAGTGGTTCAGAGGGCTTCAAAAGGAACCTGGGTTTAACACCTGGGCCTTGAAATGTTAGGCTTGATGATTTAAAACATTCTTAAGGATCTACTAATATGGACATCTTTCTGCTGACAGAATGGCCGATTAGCATAAGCCCTCCAGACCAGATATTTCTTTGACCCTCTTGGGTGTTAAACTGTTTTTGGAATTCAGGGTTTCCTTTGGTGTTTGAGAGGCCAGCTCAGGCTACACAATTGTTTACCACTTCACCCCAAGCTACACAGTTGCCATGTAACCTTACTCCACATTTGCATCTTGTCTAAACAATGCAATTATAACTTACATTTAATTTTGTCATTTACTAAATTATGTGGTTGTCTTTTTCTTCTTGTTCACATGTCTTATCCTTCCTGACTTTCCCTTTAGCTGTGTACAGCATTTGTTTGAGAATAAAATATCTGGCACACTTAGTTACATTAGCACCATGTAACTAATGACTAGTCACAACACATGACTAATTACATCAGTGCCAGCTGTGCCCTCTTTGAGCACCAATACACTGTCTCCAGTGTACTTCCTTTGCGAGAGGACGAGCCAGCGTGCCCTTCACCTTCAGCTCTCAAACCGTTAGTACTTTATTCAATTTTGCCTCGCTCTATATCTCACTTAGTTTAAATGTGTGATAGTTTCCTCTCTTTAGAGGGGATTCTAGATTGAGTGTCCCAAATCTAATAATTCTTCAAGTTTATTTATGATAACTGCAATTAAAGAATAATCTTACATCTCTGCTTTGGTTAATTTCTACCATCCCCTCTGGCGATCATAATGTCAACTGCCCATATAACATCCTGTCGAAAACTGAATCTTCTTTTTTCCCTCAGAAAGTACCTTTCCCCCATTTTCTTCTAATTGTCTTTGGAATCACCATACTTCCAACATGTTCCCTGACTTAATTTTCTCTCCTGTACTCCAGGTAATAAACCTGAGTCCCGAGGACTCAGTGGTGGACAGCGAGATTGAAAGATGAGTAAAAAGATCTGCTGCCTTAATGAGTTCAATATGATCCAGTCAGAAGTTAGCAATCTAAAAAGATATTCCTTTTTTTCCCCAAAACCTTTACAAAGCAAATGACTCCCTTATTTTACAACTCTGGTGCAATTTTGCATACAATTATTTTGCAAATAATTGTATTTGTTCACTTCATATTTGTTTGTCAAGTATCTTCTGGTTCATTCTACAGATGGACTTCTCAAATACACTGAAAGCTATTCCAGGGCAAGGCTTTCCATTATATATGCCTTGCACAAGCCAAAGAAGTTTTTAACATGCACATCTGGTAAATATGCAACAACAGGCCTAACCTCATGACCTCCTTTAAAAAAAACATCCGAAAGGAAAGGTTTACTATAAAAAGGAAAAGAAAGGTAAAGTATGTTTGCATAGACACAAGTGGGCAGAAAGGGCTGCTCACAGTCGCTTCTTCCCTTGGGCACTGCACTTCAGCTTCCATCAGCTGAGCACGCTGCCTCTGCGTTATGGGCTTTGCATAGAATCTTCTACTCCAAATGGCTAACCCTGTCAGTTCCTTAGGTCTTTGCTTGTACGTCATCTTCCCTGCGCAGTGAGGCGTACCCTGCCACATTTCATACTGTGACTTTGCCTGCCTATGGGGCACTCTCAACCCCTTTATCCAGCTCTTATTTTTCCTCTTAGCACTTAACACCTTCTAACATATTGTAAAATCTGACTCATGGCCCACTAGAACATAAACTCCGGTGGACAGGGCTTTTTGGTTTTTCATCTTTTGCACTGACTTATATGGAGCCACAGGAAGAGTGCATTAAACTCAAATGTTTGTTTAATGATACTAACAACATAATCTACAAAGTAGAATCTGCTATTTAGTCTAAGGCATATCTAACAAATGAAGGTTAACAAAATGGGCGAGGACAATTTTCCACAACAAAATGCATATATAGTCTAGTCTCATATCACAGAAACCTAATGAGAGACCTGTCTATAATCAGCAACAAAACGTACCCAATTTTGGCTGGCATGTAGAGCATTAAAGGCACCACCGGAGAATCTTCATTTCCATAGATGATGAAGCCCATCTCTTTCAGACGTCTCCTGAAATACCTGGTGTTTTCTGCTAACTGCTGCACACACTCTTTGCCTGGAACGTTGAGGAGGGAAACAAAATAATACTAAGAAAAATGTGGAAAGAAGACAGCACTCTCCTCTACCTCCATTCTATTTAACCAGTGCTATATTTCTTCCTTTCAACACAAAGTATTTCTGCACAGTAAACTGCATGGAATATAAACAACTATATCTTGCTGTGCATTCTTCCATACCAGGTGTTGATAGCAAGTTTTATAAGAACGCACAAAATAAAGTTTATTGACTAAAATTTCTATGCACATCAGCACCCTCAAACACTTTTCTTGCCACCATTTCACATTAACACCCCCCCATCCTTTGCAGCAGGATGGATGTTTAGTACCACCTTCATGTCACAGGCTAAGAGACTCTCAAAATACAGTACACAAGAGTCTATAGTCACAGAAGTTAAGTGGCACAGCGGAGACTAGAATCCGGTTCCTTCAACTGCAACATTCACTCCAAGTAACTGTGCTACAAATAGTACCACAGAGACCAGAGGCAGACGCATTTAGAACCTCAATTCTCCATCAATTTCCCACCAATTTTTGAACCTCAATTTTCCTCCTAGGAATTTTATTTTATATTACAATTTCCACAACACTTATATCAGACAGCAGTAGTAGAGCAATACTAATGTAAAACCTTATTATTATTATTATTTTTTTGTGGGACCCTCGCCGGTGGCTGGGGATCGAACTGGCGCTGCAGATGCTGCGGGCAGCCTCGCAACCCAGCGTTCAACCACTGTGCCACCAGGGGAGGCCCTAAACCTTATTTTTAATCCTACTTTGTTCATTTCCCCTAAAGCCCAAATGGACTAAAGCATTTCTCTGATTGCTGACAAAATATTTGGCAGGTTTTAATTTTATGGTAGGTCAATCTACAAAAAGATATCCAAACAGTTGTTCTGTTATTGAATAAGCCATATATTCAAAAGATCAAATTGCAAAGGTCTAAGAACTATTTTATGGTCTTTTCAACCATGAATACTCACAATTAAGAAAAGATTGTCATTTTCTCACATAAATTAGAAACTCAGCAAACTCATATTAAAAAACTAAAAGCATTACACAGTTCAAACAATAAATGAGTTAGAAATATGGATAATTAACAAATGTCCCTAGAATTAGAATTTAACATGTCCATCACTGATGGGAAGTTACTCCAGGTAAATTTGCCACACATAACCCCAAATTAATACTTTTTTAAAAAAAAGATTTATTTATGCATACAAGAACTGGGGTACAGGCCAGAGATGTGGGGGGTGAGAAGATTCACTAGAGACAGAGTAAGGAACAGAACAGGCAGATTGACCGAAATACACTGCTGAGGGGAGCAGCGGGCGAGGCAGGAGAGGTTTGCTGCGCCATGTGGGTAAAGCCCTGGCCAGGGATTGAACTCATTATGCAGTGGCTGCGGAGAGCGTAGGTTGCGTCTTAACCCCTTGTGCCATCAGGGAGGCCCCCAATTAATACTCTTTATGAAAATAATTTCAGGTTGACCAGAGAGTAACCGTTTAGATTAGCTTAGTGTGAACCCTGAAGAACATCACTTAAGTTATGACAAATATCTTACAAAGAATAAAATGGACATTAAAGTGTGCTATATTTAGGATGGCTGAGAACTGATGGCCATGTGTCAAGTTTCTTCCTAGAACCAACACATGCTCACACTACATTTAGGAGAAAGGACTTCCTTCCACTTGTAGTCAAGATGGAGTACCAAGAACCAGATTTATTTTCCTGCTGTAATTAACAAAAACTGGATAAAGTATATAAAAGAGCAGTTTTCGGACAGTGGAGCACAGGCAATGCTGAACTGTGCTGATGGAGAAAAGGGAAACAAGGAGGGTGCCTACATGACCCTGGTGCTCTAGAGAAGACCCCAGCTGACATTCTGGGAAGGAAAACCCACTAGTTTTGTCAGTTGAGGACCCCAGAGATCGGAGTTGGAAGGCAAAGGGGTCTAGAATTCTTGAGCAGTATTCAAGCGAGGAGAGAGGCACAGAGAGAGAGCTTTAGAGACCTGCAGAAGGGTCCCCCTGAACCTCCGGCAGAGTACTGATTGCACACAGGAGAAGAAACTGTCGGCCTGGGTGAAGATCCACCAGAAAGCAGCAGAACTTCCAATATTCAAAATATAAAGAGTAGTTTGTATCTTTACCCACCAAAGTGGAAAGACCACAGAAGGTGTCACAGTACCAGCAGAGCTAACTTGGTCCTAGACTAAAAGGTGCTCTGGATCCACTTCTAAAATGTTTAAAAGAAGTTCTAAAAGGATCCAACTAATTCCAAGAACTAAATCCAATGTTACCTAAAGGAATACAACAAAATGCAGTTCACAGTAATGTAAAATCCACGAAATCTGACCTATACTAAAAACATTCCAGGCATTAAAAGAAGTAGGAAAACATGATCACTGTCAGGAGAAAAGGCAAACCATAGAAATGGGGCAGAAATAACCAAGTATTAGCAGACAAGGACGTTAAATGCATTGTAAGTGTGCTCCATCTATTTGGAGGGAAGCAGAAACTTGATGAAGAACTCTGAAGGAAATGTATAAGATATAACTGTTTTCAGGCCTGTGACACAAGAGACACTCTGCAGCCTCTGCAGCCCATGGATCAGGAAGTAATTTCAACTTTCAAGTCCTGTTACTTAAGAAACACATTTTAAGGCCACAACTGCTATGGAACAGTGATTCCTCCAATGGATCTAACAGTGATTCCTCCAATGGATCTAGGCAAAGTCAACTGAAAACCTGGAAAGGATTCACCATTTAGATGTCATTAAGACCATTCATGATTCATGCAAGGAGGCAAAGTATCAACAACAGGAGTTTGGAATGGGTTTACTCCAACACTCGTGCATAACTCTGAGGGGTTCAAGATTTCAGTGGAGGAAGTAACCATAGGTGTTGCAAAAATAGCAAGTGAACTCGAATTAGAAGTGAAGCCTGAAGATGAACTGAACTTCTGTAGTTTCATGACAAAACTTTCATGGATAAGCGGTTCATTCTTATGGATGAGCAAAGATAGTAGTTTCTTGAGGTGGAATCTACTCCATCTCAAGCGGAGCTGCTGTGAACACTGAAGTGACAACAAAAGATTTAGAATACTACATAAACTTAGATGATAAAGCAGCAGCAGGGTTTTGAGAGGACTGACTGATTTTGAAAGAAGTTCTACTGTGGATAAAATGTCATCAAATATCACATGCTACAGAGAAACCATTTGTGAAAGAGTTGATCAATACAGCAAACTTCATTGTCTTATTTTTAAAAATTGTCACTGCCACCCCAACCGTCAGCAATCACCGCCCTGATCAGTGAACAGCCACCAACATCCAGACAAGACCCTAGAGCAGCAAAAAGATTACAACTCGCTTGAATGCAGTGGTCTGGGACCAAACTCACAGTATCTTCAAGGTGTGCCTATATCCTCACTCTCGCTGAGTAGTTTTCCTTTGTTAAGATGCAGTGCAATTTGTTTACCCATTCATGTATTACTGAGCATAAGAGCATATTACTGTCAACCTTCATTTTGGCAACTGTAAGGTTCACATTAAAAAAGAGTTCTCTCCTAAATATGTATCTAAGCATCCCAGTCGTAACTTAATAAGAGAAGAATTACAATAATTACCTATTAACAGTTCAATTTCATTTGCTCTAACTGCTGTAGACAGATGTGGTAAGAGAATGTACTACTTATATTTCACACAGAAAAAAACAAGGCCATGGATATTAAATTATTTTCTCCAAGACTTTTCATTCAGTAGGAAGGAGATGAAAATTTTCTGACTCCAGTCCAGCGCTTTTTCTTCTACACCACACATAGAAATCGTGTATTTTTCAAATTTTGAAGGATTTAGCTCTATATTTGGTAATGACAAGCTCTATATTTGGTAATGACATATATTTCTGATATTTCTGATTTTTAAAACAGCACTCACTGGCAAATGCATCAGGGAGGGAAAAGCGAGTGAAGGAGATGCGGGGTCTGCAGGAGACAGTGAAAGCAGCCCTGCCAGTAACTGCCATCACTGTGGTTAAGGAGAGGGATAGTCAAGAGCGGTGCTAGAAAAGAAGCTGACCAATTTTAGAAAAATGGCAATCAGAGTAAATCATAGAAATTAAGTGGTCTTTTTATTCTACAAAACCACTAGACTGAATCATGAAAATGCAAGTATTTGACTTTTATTTTTTTCAGAAAAAAATTTTTTTTTTAAAGATTTATTTATTTATACAAGCACTGGGGTACAGGTTAGAGGCACGGGAGGGTGAGAGAATTCACCAGAGACAGAGCAGGGAGCAGATAGACCGAAAGCACTGATGAGGGGAGCAGCAGGCACGGGCACAACAGGAGAGGTCTGCCACGCCAAGTGGGAATCTCCCTGGTGGGCCGGGAATTGACCCCGAGCTTGCTGAGGCTGCGGACAGCTTCACAGCGCTGTGCTCAACCTGCTGTGCCACCAGGGAGGCTGAGTATTTGACTATTTTTAAGCTAAAAAAGGGCAATTTGTTTTGGTTCAACCTAATAATTTAAAAGATGATAACAGGAAAAGCAGCCAAGTAAATGTTGACAAATCAGTAAACTTTGACATTTATACACACTGGAAAGTTACCCTTTACTCTTAAGGTGATACTGAATTAGAACAGACAATAATTACCCATTTTGAGTTGAACAGCATGTTAAATACCAGTTAATATAATGCAAAGGGAGAACTGCTATATAAGTGCAATCTGCTAGTTCAGTCCTAAGGAGTTTTCCTACCACAGAGTTTCAGCAAGTATCTGATTCTACACGACTTAACACGAAGAACGTTTAGTCTTGTTAAAGAAAACACTGACTCTTTTTTGTTGTTGTTGTTGATTTTTTAAAATTAATTTTTAAAAAGCTTTTTACATCACTGTTCATTTTTAAACAATATTTGCTTCCCCCCACCCCTAGAGTCCCCATAGAGTTTCCTCCCCCAGTGCCCCTGTGCACCATCACCTCAGTCCCCTGTTCTC